CTTTCTATCATTGCTGTTATCTTCATTACTTAATCAATCAATAGGAGACTGAGAACAGGTTTTACAATTGTAGTCATAGAATCATACAGCACGGAAACAGACCCTTTCAGTCCATGCCAAGCATAATCCCAAACTAAACTAGTCCCACTTGCCTGCTCCTAGCCCATATCCCTCCAAACCTTTCCTATTCATATACCTATCCAAATGTCTTTTAAACATTGCAATTGTACCTGCATCCACCACTTCCTCAGGAAGTTCATTCCATACGCAAACCACGCTCTGTGTTTTTTTAAAAAAAGATGTACCCCTCTTGTGTCTTTTTTAAATCTCTGACCTCTCACCTTAAAAATCATTTTATTCAAATGACTCAGGGAAAGAGTTGCCTGAACTTAAAAAAAACTGAAGCAAAACTCTGAAGAATACTAAAAAGTTGTAATTAAGCGACCACAGGCCCAAAATTTGCCATTCTAAATTGACCCGTAGCTGGAGAAATCAGGTATGATAGAAAATTGGCCAAACTAAATTAAACAGCAGGCAGCAGCTATTGGTCACATAAAGTGGAAAACCAAGATCAAAGAGGTCACAAATGTTCGGTGGAACCAGTTACAACCAGCCTAAGGATTGTGTATTTGAGGAGTATTGATCAGACTTCCTGACACCTTGATTTCTAGCCAGTGTCTGAGTATGAGAGATACTAGGAACTGCAGATGCTGGAGAATCTGAGATAACAAGGTGTAGAGCTGGATGAACACAGCAGGCCGAGCAGGAAGGCTGACGTTTCGGGCCTAGACCCTTCTTCAGAAATGGGGGAGGGGAAGGGGGTTCTGAAATAAATAGGGAGAGGGGGAGGCGGATAGAAGATGGATAGAGGAGAAGATAGGTGGAGAGGAGACAGACCGGTCAAAGAGGTGGGGATGGAGCCAGTAAAGGTGAGTGTAAGTGGTGAGGTAGGGAGGGGATAGGTCAGTCCAGGAAGGGCGGGATGAGGTGAGTAGGTAGGAGATGGGGGTGGGGCTTGAGGTGGGAGGAGGGGATAGGTGGGAGGAAGGACAGGTTAGGGAGGCAGGGACGAGCTGAGCTGGTTGTGGGATGTGGTAGAGGGAGGGGAGATTTTGAAGCTTGTGAAGTCCACATTGATACCATTTGGCTGGAGGGTTCCCAAGCGGAATATGAGTTGCTGTTCCTGCAACCTTCGGGTAGCATCGTTATGGCACTGCAGGAGGCCCAGGATGGACATGTCGTCTGCGGAATGGGAGGGGGAGTTGAAATGGTTATGTGCAGTTTACACCTCCCTCGGATAGCAACAGTGACAGTGTTGGCGCGACTCCATTGGATGCTTTGAACCCACCTCATGATCCCATTGGCCAAAAGGCACGGAACATTCAGGAAGGCCTGGGATGAGGGGATGCTAACAACACACACCTGGAAGCTAACCTCTCAGCGAAGACCTGCAGTGAGTCTTGCGGCGGAAGACGGTGCGGCAACCTAAGAAGTCCCAGGAGAAGATCTACCTTGAGCTATGAGACTCCCCTTCGTGGAAGAGAGCCAGCCTTCCATCAGAGTGGAAGGAGATTCCAGTGGCCCAGCTCAGACACGTGGATCATTGTGGGTAATATCCTTTGAGATGGATTGAGCTACCTAGAGGGTAAATATTGTGGGAATTTCAGAAATACAAGCATAGTCTTTTTAGTAAAATTGAGTTAATCAGCAAACAAAATTCTGTATTCCTTTGACCACCTCATCGACGAGCACTTGGGTAAAGTGTCGGTAATATATAAACTGGTCAAAGTATCCAAACCGACAATCCCAAGGGCACCTCACTATTAAATTCTATTCTTCCTTCAAACAAAAAATGTCCATTCTAGGTCATAAGTCAATGTTGTTAAGGTCTCCTTCACTCAGACAGAGTAATCAATCATGCCCTAGATGTTGCTATCTCTTTACTTATCAGTGTTACCTCCCTGTCATGCCTCTGTCTTTCTGTCTCTCTCTCTCTCTGTGTCTGTGTGTCTGTGTCTGTGTGTGTCTCTCTCTCTCTGTGTGTCTCTCTCTCTCTGTGTCTCTCTGTCTCTGTCTCTGTCTCTGTCTCTGTCTCTCTCTGTGTCTCTCTCTTTATTACCAGTTAAAAATAACAGATGTGCCATTAATTCTGCCTTTCAGAGCAATTTATTTTTAGATTCTTTAGCTGGGATTTTCTGTCATTTGATTCTTGACTCTATCCTCACCTATGTTCACACCTGTTGGACGTCCTTTTGGAAATGGAGTGATTCTGAAAACATCTGCCCACTTTTTGTGGCAGGTATATTGCATCGAAATTTAAATATCTGCACTACATCAGCTGATATGCTGACTTTCATTTGATCCATGCTTCATATCAATGTATGCATTGAATCTCACCAGTCAGTTCTGAAGGAAAGCCACTGGGTGGTATCACCAGGTGGCAATATAATTGACTGCAACCTTGTTTATTAATCACTCCACCCCGTCCCCACTACCACTTGGTGTAGATTCCTATTATAAATCAGGAAGGAGATACAGGACATTGAAATAATGGACAGTTGACCTTTACTGGAAGGTAAATGTCCATCAGAAAATTTCAAACTGAGAAAGATAAAAGCGAGATACTTTTCCAGCAAATATGAACATACAGCAGGAGTCAATCAGCTCGGTTTCCTAGGTGGCTGGAAAACAGTGCAGAATGATATCAGCAATCTGTATTCTGGTCGTGATCGTGCATGGAGAATTACATACCTAACCATAAACATAGAAATAATGTCTAGCCTTTAAAGACCCTGTGGTCTACCTAGCCTGTAATACACAGTAAGAATATAAAATAAAATGAGCTTTCCATTCTTAATTTAAGGGAGAAACAGATGGCACAAAGATGCTTCAAAAATGATGGTTAGATGAATGGACATGAGCTGGTAGATGAAGTATAATAGAGAAATGTGAGGCTACTCACTTACATCTCCATTCGTAAAAAAAATACACACTTGCTTTAGAGTCAATTAAGTGAAGGTTCACTTGATTGGTTCTTGAAATGAGAAGGTTGTCCTATGAGAAAACTGGGTTGCTACTGTTTGGAGATTAGAAGATTGAAAGGTGTTTTCATTCAACCCTAAATGAGTCTGAAGGGATTTACCAAGGTAGATACTGAGAAATCATATATCCTAGCTGAGGATATCTAGAAAATGGTGAGTCTAGCTTTTTGAGAAGGTGTTGATTTATTTAGGGGTGAAACAAAGACGGCTCTTCATTTTGGAATTATATACCACTGAGAGATGCAGATACTCTGTCAAGAATCTATTCAGAGCTGGGATAGACTTTTGGTGTGTCACAGAACTGAGGGATATAGGAAAGTGAAGTTGAGCATAAGATGACCCACGATGGTATTGAATGGCATAGCAGATTAGAGGACCCTTAAGTTTACTCCTCCTAATTTTATGAGATCAAAGGTATTGCTTTAGGGAAGAAAAATAATTTGGTACCCTTTGTTTTTAAAGTTTTCTACTCGCCCCTAAATGTGCCCCAATGCCACCATTTAGTGGGAAGCTTTCCTTTGAGCATTAAATGTAGCAAGATCATAAACACATTTGTGAAACTATGGACTATTCTGTTCAACTTCCATGAACTGCTTGAGAGTTAATTGAGGTCTGGCAATTCTTTTTCTGACTCTTCCTTGTTTAAAAAGTGTGTTCTTAGTATCATTCCCAATAACAACGCAGAGTGGAAGCCACAAATCAATCTCCTTTCATTCTTGGCCAGTGTACATTACAGAACCCAAAAGACACCAACTAAAAGGAAGTGGTAACACAGTGTGGAGCTGGAGGAACACAGCAGGCCAGGCAGCATCAGAGGAGTAGGAAAGCTGACATTTCGGGTCGGGACCCTTCTTCAGAAATGGGGGAGGGGTGGGGGGCTCTGAAATAAATAGAGAGAGGAGGGGTGGGGCTGGGGAAGGTAGGTGGGATAGTGATAGGCCAGTGCAGGTAGGCAGTGATGGGGATTGATCAGTGAGGTGGGAGGAGCAGATAGGTGGGAGAGAAGACAGACAGGTAAAGGAGGTGGGGATGAGAGGGAGGGTTGGTCATGGGTTGAGGCCAGGGGTGGAGAGATTTTGAAACTATTAAAGTCCACATTGAGACCATTGGTCTGTAGGCTCCCAAGGTGGAATATGAGGTGCTGCTCCTTCAGTTTCCGGATGGCATCATTATGGCACTGGAGGAGCTCCCTTCCCCTCCCCCATTTCTGAAGAAGGGTCCAGACCCGAAATGTCAGCTTTCCTGCTCCTCTGATGCTGCCTGGCCTGCTGTGTTCCTCCAGCTCCGCACTGTGTTATCTCTGACTCCAGCATTGGCAGTTCTTACTATCTCTAACTAAAAGTAAGTGATGCCTTTGATTTCATTTGAGTGATGTTTTGTTGTGCATTACTATGGATATACAGGAATATGAAGTAGGAACGGGAATAGACCACCTCACCCCACGAGTTTGCTCTGCCAGGATCACAGTTGATCTGATAACTCCAGACTAGCACTGACCTGATAACCTTTCACCCACGCTTACTCAATAAGAATCTCGCTCAGTCTGCTTTAATAATATTCAAGGACTCTGCTTCTGCTGCCGTATGAAGAGGAGAGTTCCAAAAGCATGACCGTCTATGAGAAATAAATTGTCCTTTTCTCTAAATGGGCAACCCCATTTTTTTTTGAACTATGATCCCCTAGATTCTCCCACAAGAGGAAATATTTTTTCCACGTGCACCCCATCATGAGTTTCTATGTTTCGAATTGAAAGGAAATGTTAACTTCAGTTATACTACAGTGAAGTTTATACATTCGGGAAGTCATGGTTATTTCATGGTGTGTAAATCATTTAGAAAAGTTCAATTTTAACGTGTTACTGCAAAGAAGCTGTGAAATAATTGCATGTCTGTTATTGGAAGAACATAATGCTGAACAATAGTAAGAACAAATTCAAAAATTCTCTCTCTTTCTCTTTAGGTTTCATAACTATTTTCGGACTTATTCGTCTTCCTCATTATTCCTTTGTTCAGGCCTCAGCATGCATTGGTTAACCATCTGTCTGAAACGAGAGCATTCTGCTATAGAAGGTATATTTTTCCAGTCTTTGGAAAAGTCACACATTTACATGTGGTGATGTGCGCTGCTCCATCGTTGCTGGTCAAGGAGAAAGAAGCACAAGCTTAACAAAATGCAGTGCTTTAAAGACCTCAAAAGGATGGAATGATTGCAAGCCTCAGAATCTAACAGTGCTTGAGGTGGAAGCTAGGGGGAAAGGGCATGGCCAAACCTTTTGTTCGAGTACAGAGATTTCTCCGGTGGACACCCATACTTTTCGTTTTCCTCATTGGGGCCTACCTGATGGCTGGCAGCCTACTGCTACTGCAGCGGTCAGGGTTCTCCATACAATTGGGCCCTCGTGGTGTCTCCAACAACCAGCCAACATCAGTCACAACTGTCCTAGAGAAAGCTATTTCTGATCCCGAAACAATATACAGCCTGAAGTACAAATCCAAGATGCCAGTTAACATGCAGGTATGGGACGAGCCAGTTATGAACAGGAAATTTGGACCGCGTTGGCTGATATCAGGGCACCCTGAAATTGGTCATTTGAGAAGAAGGTGGTTTAACAGCTTTGTGAAGGAACAAGAGCCAAGGCAAAGACTGGAGATTGGAACAGTAAAGAAAACAATTGGAAGTAAAGGTAACAATCATTTATAACTCATCCATTTCTTGTTTTCTTTCTCATACTTTTGTGACTGTTTGCTCTACTTCAACAGACTATGTTTTTTTGATCCCCATTTTGAGTTATATTCATTTTACTTTGACAAAAATCAGCACTGAATTGTGAGCTTTAAAGTGGTATTGATGACATGGTAAATAGATACCGAAGGAACTGCGGATGCTGTAAATTGGAAACAAAGACAGATCTGGCAGCATCTGTGGAGAGAAATCAGAATTAATGTTTTGGGTCGTTTCTTCAAATAATTTGGTACCTGTAGGATGTAGGAAAGTGGTGTTCAGTGTATTAACTTGGAATCCAGATGTTGCAAATTGCAATTTAGTTAACCAATGATAAATAAGCAATAGACACCATAATTTGTTATGTGCTCGCAATACTCATATATTTGTATGGGATGTGCATGTGTACTTTAAACTTTGTGCGTATTTGAAAAATGCCACTGTTTTCTCATCATTGCATTTACTTTACTTCATTGATTTACTGTTCAGTATGCCTAAAACTAGGCTTTATTTCACACGAACATTGACTCCATATTAATACACCGGCTGGTGATATTGCTAGTTAGGGAATGACTTGTCAGTAAGGGGTAGCCAAGACTGAGAATCTAAACTCATTTAGGAAATGACAGGAATAGTTCATATCTTCAGTACCTGTCTGCTAAGCTGGTGTACCAGACTCTGTCCAACTATTTGTTCAAAATTCCTCCTGTTAAAATTAAACGAGGTTAAAATTGGTAGGTTCTAAACTGTGTGAGTGATCTGGTCTGCCAAGTTATCAACCAGAGAGTGATGGTTCCAGTCAATCCTTGGAGATGTTAATAGAGTGGGGACCATGAAGTGTAAAGTTGTATATCACATTTAGCCCTCTTCATATGAAAACACCTTAGGATCTTCCAAATGACTGGGATAAATGATAAGATCTGAGAAGCAGATGAGAGCAATTACTAATTTACTTCCCCACAAAACTCAGAGGAAGAGGTTATTTGACCTAGTTATTGATTTTGAATTTATCCAACAAGCGAATAAAATGTTTCTGTTTTGCTTTTGACTGGCCTGGTTAGCCGTCATTGATGATTAGACACTGCCATGAATGAAACAGTTCCCTTGTTTCCAGGGCATTTTGTCCTGCTGTACACGCTGTCTGCTTACATTTTTCCCCACAGGAAGATGAGCTGCAGCTGTCAGCCAGAGAAAGAGAGTAACTAAAGCTATATTTCTTCATGACTGCTCCTGATTTGACTTCATTGTTGGCTGACAGGAAGCAGGATTGCAATGGGGGTGTGACAAATGATGCCAGTTTTTCTCTCTCCTCATGTGGAGTGCCCTAGTAGCACAGGACTCCAGTAAGCGGCCTGGGCAAGAACTGTAACAAGTAAAACTTTTAACTGAAGACTTTCTTCAAAGTCATATCATTCTAACCTAAGCTCCCAGGTACCTCTGTGCCACTGGGTTATAAATGAAGTGTCTAGGCCCGAAACGTCAGCCTCTCTGCTCCTATGATGCTGCTTGGCCTGCTGTGTTCATCCAGCCTTGCACCTTGTTGTCTCGGATTCTCCAGCATCTGCAGTTCCTACTATCTCTGTTCAGTACATTTGACAGGTATATGCCTTAAAATTTAATGGACTGTTTCACTTTTTCTCATCTTAACTAATAATGAAACGTTTCAGATTTCTTTCTTAGTGGTATACTGTAGTTCAAAATTGAGGAAGCAAGCACTTACACTTGTCTTTCTTTTTTTTAAGTTTTTGTATGTACTTCTGTAAAAGGCAACTTTGTATAAAGATTGCCCCTACAGCTGCATTCTCCCAGGCCTGGGCCTGGAGGCAAAAAGTGAACTGAATTAGCTGGACTGGTGGCAGACTTACCAAACTCAACCGTATGGAGTTCTAGGTGAGCAAGCCCAAGTGCAGCCTTCCTGTCCCGCCATCAGTTATAGAGTAGAATAGAATATCCTTTATTGTCACGTGCACTCAAGTACAGATGCACCAGAGGTACAGTGAAAAGTTTTACAATGTCACCTCTTATGGTGCCATCTGAGGCACAAGCTCCTAGGTACAAAATCCTTGTTACAAAAAGAGGAATAGAAAAGTAATTGTGTTACTTTACAGAGAAAAAGACATAGTTCAAAGGATAGTAAGAACTGCCGATGCTGGAATCAGAGGGACAGGAAAATCAACATTTCGAAGGGTCCCAACCTGAAACATCAACTTTCCTGCTCCTCTGATGCTGCCTGGCCTGCTGTGTTCCTTCAGCTCCACACCGTGTTATCTTAATTAGGAGGATAGTCATTACAGTCATATAAACAAATTACACATAAACATTACATTGCGGTAGCTGAGGGCAGGGGCTTCCACGTATGGCCTGACTGCCTGTGCCAATTATTGACCATTATGAGGGCCTCATCTGATGTGAACTGCAGTGACTTCAGCTCCAGGAAAGAATTGGCAAACCAGACTGATGGATAGTGCATCTAAACTGTTAGGGATGTCTGTGGTTCGGATTGGATGGAGTGGGGAGTGGGACATGGCGTTGTCTGCACTCATTTGTACATGACTGAGGGACTGGACCGAGGGCAGATGGACAGTCGATGACAGCCACTTTATGCTGTCATTTCCAATCCCCTGTCAATCCTCATCCCTTTTCACTCAGGCCAATAACCCGGAAAAAGACCCAGAAAAGCCAGAAGATCATGAAATTTCGCCTTTTTTTAAAAAAAATTAATTTGTAGGATGTAGGCATTATTGGCTGGGCCAGCATTTATTGCTAGTCCCTAGATGCCCTTGAGAAGATGGTGGTGAGCTGCCTTCTTGAACCACTGTAGGTAGACACACAATGCTGTTAGGGAGGGAATTCTAGGATTTTGACCCAATGACACTAAAGGAATGGTGATATATTTCCAAGGAAGGTGAGTAGCTTTGAGGGGAACTTGCAGTTAGTAGTGTTCCCGTTTGTCTATTGGCCTTTTCCTTCTAGATGGAAGTGGTCATGGATTTGGAAGGTGCTCAATAAGGATCTTTGGTGAATTTCTGTAGTGCATCTTGTTGAGAGTACACACTGCTGTTACCGAGTGTCAGTGTGGAGAGGGTGAATGCTTGCGGATGTAGTGCAAATCAAATGGGTTGCTTTGTCCTGGAATGTGTCAAGCTCCTTGAGTGTTGTAGGAACTTCTCTATTTGTATACTCGGTCCAGTTCAGTTTCAGGTCAATGAGAACCCCCAGATGTTGATAGTAAAGGATTCAGGTATCGTAACACCAAGGGGCAAAGTTTAGATTGTCTGTTATTGGAGATGGTCAATGCCTGGCATTTGTGTGGTGCAAATGTTGCTTGCCACTGATAAGCTCAAGCCTGAATATTGTCCAGTTCTTCAAGTCATAGAGCTGTACAGCATGGAAATAGAGCCTTTGGTCCAACTCGTCCATGCTGATCACATATCCTAAATAAAGCTCATACTATTTGCCAGCATTTGGCCCATATCCCTCTTGAACCCTTCCTCTTCATAGATCCATCCAGATGCCTTTTAAATGTTGTGATTGTACCAGCTTCTACCACTTCCTCTGGCAGCTCATTCCATACACACACCACCCTCCGCATGAAAAAGCTGCCCCTAATTGTCCCTTTTAGATCTTTCCCATTTCACCTTTAAACTTATGCGCCCTAGTTTTGGACTCTGCCACCTTGTGGAAAAGACCTTGTCTATTTGCCCTATCCATGCCCCGCATGATTTTGTAAATGTCTATAAGGTCACCCTCAGCCTCTGACGCTTCAGGGAAAATAGCCCCAAGCCTATTCAGCCTCTCCCTGTAGCTCAAACTCTCCAACCCTGACAACATCCTTGTAAATCTTTTCTGAACCCTTTCAAATTTCACAACATCCTTCCTATCGCAGGGAGACCAGAATTGCACGCAGTATTCCAAAAGTGGCCTAACCAATGTCCTGTATATGCAATATGACCTCCTGACTCCTATACTCAATGCACTGGCCAATAAAGGCAAACATACCAAATGCCTTCCTCACTATCCTGTCTACCTGTGACTCCACTTTCAAGGAACTATGAACCTGCACTCTTTGTTCAGCAACACTCCCCAGGACCTTACAATTAAGTGTATAAGTTTTGGTCTGATTTGCCTTTCCAAAATGCAGCACCTCCCATTTATCTAAATTAAACTCCATTTGCCACTCCTCGACCCATTGGCCCATCTGATCAAGATCCCATTGTACTCTGAGATAACCTTCTTCACTGTTGACTATACCTGCAATTTTAGTGTCATCTGCAAACTTACTAACCATACCTCCTATGTTCACATCCACATCATTTATATAAATGATGAAAAGCAGTGGACCCAGCACCGATCCTTGTGGCATGCTGCTGGTCACAGACCTCCAGTCTGAAAAGCATCATCCACCACTACCGTCTGTCTTCCATCTTCGAGCCTGTTCTGTATTCAGATGACTAGTTCTCCCTGTCCTCCATCTGATCTAATCTTGCTAACCAGTCTCCCATGAGGAACCTTGTTGAACACCTTACTGAAGTCCATATAGATCACATCCACTGCTCTGCCCTCATCAATCCTCTTTGTTACTTCTTCAAAAAACTCAATTGAGTTAGAGAGACATGATTTCCCAACACACAAAGCCATATTGGACTTGGTCTACTTCAGTAACTGAAGAGCTGAAATTGTGCAGTCATCAGCACACATTCCCTCCTTACGTTGGAAGAAAGGTCAATGATAAAATAGTTGAAAACAGTTGGGCCTAGGACACCACCCTGAGGTACTCCTGCAGAGCTGTCCTGGAGCTGAGATGACTGACCTCCAACAACCTCACCCATCTCCCTTTGTGCCAGGTACATCGCCAACTAATGGAGAGTTTGCCCCCTGATTCCCGTTGACTCCAGTTTGGCTAGGGATGCTTGATGCCACACTTGGCCATATGCAGCCTTGATGTCAAGGGCAGTCACTCTC